CTCGGGGGGCCCCGGGGGCCGGAACGGCCTGCCCTGGAGACAGAGCCAGGGCAACACGGAGATGCCCTCGGACTCCAGGGGACGCCAGGCCACACTGTGTGAAAGCTGTAAAGCTAATGACAGAGACAGATGGAGAGACCGGGAGGAGGAGGAGCCATGTGGGCGGTGGCCCTGCCTCACACAGAAAAGCAAAGAGGAAATCCAAGGCCTGCCAGGGAGCCCCTGGACCAAGACGTCCAGGCGAAGCCGCTCACCTGGATCCCGTCCAGCAGCTTGCTCATGCACCAAAAGCTGTCGGCTTCAATGCTTCGCAGCATGTCCTGAGACAGGTTGGTCACGTCAAAGTTCTCCACATCCTCTTCTGTAAAACAAAAGGTGAAGAAAGTCCAGCGGTCTTATCTAAAAATGGAGAGAGAGGGATAGGGTCTAGTGTCTTCACGGGGGCCCTTAAAGCAGGGGAGAGCCAGGATAACCTGATGTCAAGGACCGGGGCCTCCCCTCTATTCCTCCTGTCAGGTGGACAAAGGTCCCCAGAGACGTTCTCGAGGACCTCGTTATAATATTCAACAGGCCGTGCCTTCCACCTCTCCCACTGGGTCCAACGGATCTTTCTCTCCCTCTGCGTCAGTTCTAGAAACTGCTACTTCAGGCCTCATGCACAATGAGCTATACCCAGCTCCTTGGAGATGATCTGGGAAAATTCTGATTTCAGAAATTCAGTGATCTAACACACTTTCAGGTAGTGGGAACAGCCAGGACCAGGCAGCCCCCTTAGTTCATGTTAAAAATGAAATCCTGGGGGAACCAGCAGTTAGCGTAATGGCTATGTCGCTGGACTCCCACGTAGTCGACCGCGGTTCGTCTCCCGGACCCGGTGGCTTAAAACTCACGCCGGGCGCGTGTGTGTGCGTGCCCAAGATCCCGAGAGGAGAATGGAGGAGAAGGGATTGCAGCATGGCCATCCCCCCTGGGGGGTGATTTCTCGCTTTCTGTCTCTCTGTCTCTCTCTCTGTCTGTCTGGCGAGCGCACGCGCCCTACAGTGAAAATCTCTCAAAAAAAAAAAAGAAATCCTGGGACCAATAGATGGTGTAATGGTTATGTCGTTAGACTCCTCTCCCACATAGTCAGCAGTGGTTCAAGTCCTAGACTCGGCAGCTTAAAACTCATACTGGGGGCAGTCAGTAGGCGGCATGGTGGTTAAGAGTACTGGACTCCCACATGGCCAATTGTGGTTTGAGTCCCAGTCCTGGTGGCTTGCTTTCTCACTTTCCCTCTCTTTCACTCTGTCCCTCTCCGGTCAAAATTAAAAATTAAATAGATAAATGAAATTAAATAAAATAATTCTTTAAAAATAAAAAGAAACAAAGAAAGAAAGAAAAGGCCTCGGGACCAGCAGGTGGTGTGGTGGCTAAAGCATTGGGCACTCCCACATGGCCGACAATGGTTCAAGTCTCAGACCTGTTGGCTTGCTTCCTCTCTCTCTCCTTGGTCAAATTAAAAAAATAAATAGATAAATGAACCAATAAATAAAATTAAATAATAATTATTAAAAAAAGAAAAGAAAGGCCTTAAAAAACAAAACAAAAATAACTCATGCCAGGCACATGTGCGTGCGTGACCCAAATCCCAAGAATGGAGGAGGACTTGTGGCGTGGCCATCCTCCCTGGGGGGTGATTTCTCACTTTCTTTCTCTGTTTCTCTGGCGAGTACATGCTATCTATAGTAAAAATTTCTCTCAAAAAAATGTGACCCCTAAAACCTGATAAGGCAGATTCATGGTCCTGCCGCTCAGGAGTGAAGGGATGTGAATGAACTCAACCTGTGGGTGTCCCTAGGATTTAACTCCACCAAATCCGTGTTTCTTAAGATTCTGCAAAACAGCAACCCTATAAGCACTCTAAAAAAAGGAGTTCTCTAAACAAATATGGCGAAGAAATGTCACATTAAATATCCCCATACAGGAGATTCACAGAGACTATAGCGTACAAGAAGATTTGTAAAATTATAAGAAATTCTCCATTAAATAAATCTGCTTAATTTGTTTACTCAGCATTTCCTAAGCTAACCTTTTTTTTCTTTTTTGTCATAGGTAACGTACATTTGTCAAAGGGAGAGACAGAGACAAGGGGAGGGAAGGAGAGAAATCCCTCCCCCGGGGGATGGCTACACTGCAGTCCCTTCGCCTCCATTTTCCTCCAGGGATCTGGGGGACACATGCGTGCACCTGTGCACACGCATGTGTGTACCTGGTATGAGTTTCAAGCCACAGGTCCAGGACTCGAACTGCAGTCGGCCACGTGGGAGTCCAGTGACGAAACCACTACAGCATGTGCTGCCCCAACCACGGGACTTCTTTTTACGAGGACTATGGATTAGCTGCTCATGGAAATCCCAACTAAGTACTGCAGGAGTGAGAAACTGTCGGGTCTAGGATCCACGCGAGAACTATGAAGCCATCAGGAAATGTGAAGAAAAAGGCCGAGGGATGCTCTCTTCCCGGCCCTCGTTAAACACTCCCCCTTCCTGCACGAAGTGGTGAGAAAGTCTCTCCCTGCACAACAGGACGAGCCGCTGCATGCCTGTCAGAGGGCACGCCTGGCAGCGCTCTGGCCCTTGAGTGCACGGAAGGCAGCCTTTTTTTTTTTTGGAGAGCTTTTTGCTATGGGGTGTGTGTGCTTGCCAGACAGAGGGGCAGAAAGCGAGAAATCACACCCCAGGGGGGAATGGCCACACCGCAATTCCTTCTCCTCCATTCTCCTCTTGGGATCTTGGGCACGCAAGCACACGCGCCCAGCGTGAGTTTAAGCCACCGGGTCTGTGACTCGAACCACAGTTGCCTACATGGGAGTCCAGTGACATAGCCATTGCGCTAACTGCTGGTCCCGGAAGGCAGCTTTTCTCCTTAAACTCACAAACTACTGGAAAAAAACAGGATGCTCCCCGCAGTCCCTCATGCTACAGGGAGGCAGACATCTGACGCAATGTATCCGGAGTCCAGGCCTTTCAGTTATAGTATCGCTAACACCTGTCTCTGAACCCGTGTGACAGCACGCAACAACTCTCAGATTTTCCCGTTGTTTCTTTTTTTTTGAGAGGTTTTTGCTACAGGGCGCGTCCGCTCGCCAGACAGAGAGAGACAGAGAGAAAAAAAGTGAGAAATCCCTCCTGGGGGCGGATGGCCACACCACAATCCCTTCTCCTCCATTCTCCTCTCGGGATCTTGGGCACACACGCACATGCGCCCGGCATGAGTTTAAGCCACTGGGTCTGGGATTCAAACTGCAGTCGATATAGAGGAGTCCAGCGATGTAGACATTATGCCAACTGCTGGTCCCCTCATGTTTCTTTTTAATTTGCTAGAGGATTGTACACTTACCAGAGAGACAGAGAAGGTGAGAAAGCACCTCCCACGGGGGAAGGTCACACTGCAATCCCTTCTCCTCCGTTCTCCTTTTAGGATTTTGGGCACACGCGCATGAGTGAGGTTAAGTTTTTCAAACTGCTGGGTCTGGGACTTGAACTAGTATCAACGTGCAACCCAGCTGCCTCAACCACCATACCACCAGCTGGCCCTCTTCTCCTGTTTAAAGAGCCATTTTTATAGACATCAAAGGGCATTTTAAAAAAAAATCTTGGGGAGGGTGGAGTGCTCTGTGAGAAAAGCCCTGACCTGGGGAACGCCCTACAGGCCTGCCGTGGAGTACAGCCATAGCTGACGTACGGAAGAGCTGAGCACGGAGCCTGGCACAGCAGGCACGGCCGGCACTGTGCGCGACGTTTATGAGGGACTTGCAAAGACACGGGAAAGCTTGTCCCAGCGTGAGGGAAACGGGTAAGGTGCAAAATTATTTATGGTATACGTTCAACTAGTTTACATACAATATTTATATGTGTTTATATAAGCTCAGAGGAAAAACAAAATATATCACAAGGTTTACAGTGTTTATTCCCCAGGTCGTAGTGATCAGGAATTTTATTTTCTTTAAGCTTTACTATACTTTCCAAAATTTCTACAATAAGCAAAATTTTTATAGTCAGGAAAACAAGGCACATTATTTTAGGGAAAAAAAAAAAAAGAGAGAGACAATGGACTACACCTGCCTTTTATCACCAAAAAAGAAGATTCTGTAAAGCAATACTAAGCTTACAGTAACTAAAAATACAGACAATATATGAGTTCATTTGAAAAATCATATTTAAAAAAAAAACCTTCTAAGAAATAGCATTTTCCTTTTCTTCCTAACTTAAACATCTACACTGCAGTATATTTTCGGGGTGCCTCTGTCCATCCATCCACCCGCCCACCTATCCCTCTCTCTCTCTGCCTGCCTACTGACCTGTCTAATGTAACGACTTTGGGCAATAAGCCCCTGCTCAGAGTTTGCCTTTTTCTTTTCAGTTCATGTTACATTTCTGCGACTCTCCCATGCTGCTGTGCGCACCTCCGGTTCATCACGGCCCTGGTGTGCCTCCACCACGCTACATTCCCCCACAGAGTGGCTACTCAGGCTGCCTGTAACCCTCACGGCAACAGAGCTCTGAGGAACTGTCCTCGAGGGAACCCGCGTGAGGACTGCAGGGGTCACGGTGCAGGCAGACCTCTCTGGGCCAGCCTCACAACCGTGCATAGAGGCGTCCCCTCTCCTTAGGAGTGAGCACGGTTGTTCACACTAACCTATCCTAGGCAGCCGCTCCCTCTTTAGAATAATATCGTAAGAAAAAAAATGAAACCTAAAAGAAGGCCCAAGACCAACACCAGCCCCACTCCCTCACATTTCCCAGAGACAGATCTGGAGCTCCGTACTAAGATGAAGGGTCCTGTCCAACTCGGGACTGCAGAGCACTGCAGCGGAAATCCTGCAGGACTGGAAACCACACGTGGCAGTGCTGCAAGAGAGGAAGGGCCTGGGTCCCCAGGACCCCGGGGAGCAGAGCTGCCGCCTCAGCCAGCCGGAATGGCACACGGGCAAGGGCTGACTGGAGTCACACTGAGGAGCTGAATCCTGGCTCTCACCACCTGCTGTGTGCCTCCAGGCCTCACGTGTTAAGGTGGCACTAGCAGTGATGTCAATGTCGGTGTGGTAGGACACGGCACAGACTGAGTAAGTACACTAAGATGTGCGAAGCACTGGCAGGGCGCCGTTATTGCTGCTGCAGTTATTACAGAAGAACACATACAAGCAACTGATATTCACAGCCAACCGCCATCTCAACTGGTACGACTGCCACCCCAAAACATACCTTAAAAATAAGGCCATTTTTGAGGCTGGCAGGTGGCATGGTGGTTAAGAGTGCTAGACTCCCATATGGCGGACCACGGTTTGAGTCTCGGACCTGGAGGCTTGCCTTTTCACTTTCC